AAGCTTCTGTTTCTAGTAGTTGGCAAGAAAACTATTTTATTTGACATTAGCAAAGTCGGCACAAGATCATTAATTAAAAAAAAAATCCATTCCCAAATGTTGTGTATTGCATTTTTAGATGCAATAATGTGTTTGCATGTGTTTCCTAAACAGCGACATAACTCGCAGCTGAACTATCATAGTATGATGCATCGTTTGGGAAAAGAACAATGTAGTGATGAGTGTTTCCCAAAACCCATAGTTTCTCTGTCGCAGATCCATCGTTTGAACCACATTAGCGTTTATTATAATGTAAAACGCCCATAATAATGCTCTAAATGGGGTGGTAACAACTTCTTTAGAGAAGAACCCCATAAATTTTTTGTGCGAGTTATGTTGTTTTACATCCACACACATAAAAAAAAAACTTCCAATATTAGTTTGGGTAAAAACATTCACTCGTTTTCCATGGTAATTGAAATATATGTAAATGGCACATATAGAGCCCATGTTTCCTTTACAAACATTATTGAGAACATTACATATTCTATTCTAAAACATAAAATCACTTACAAAAGCTAACACGTATTCTAATCTCATATATAAATCATTTAAATAAATGAATAATGAGGCTATTTAGTAAGAAATTAAATTTAATATTTATTATTTATTAGGAAATTTTAAAATAATATAAAAAATGATGATGGGGTGACACGGTGGCTTAGTAGTTAGTGCTGTTGCCTCACAGCAAGAAGGTCACTGGTTCGAGCCTCAGCTGGGTCAGTTGGCATTTCTGTGTGGAGTTTGCATGTTCTCCCAGTGTTCGCGTGGGTTTCCTCTGGTGCTCCGGTTTCCCGCACAAGTAAACTCTTTTGGAATCTTTTCAGGAGTGAGGTGTGATACCAGGGTATGGACTGATGATGCCTCATTCAGACTAGCAGTGACTTTGTAGCTGCCTGTAGCTCTGAGTGGCGACCTGCTTCAAACTCAGGTCTGTGTAGATATATACAGCACAAATACAACCTGCCTCTGAGCGAGCTGAGAGAGGATTACGTGAGCTCTACTGGTGTTCCTATTGGCTGTCGCTCTTCATTTGCATAAAGTTGAAGGATTTTCAATTTTGTAGTGTCGCTCAACACGCCCACCTGGTTACCAACGGTTGCTGGAAGTCGCTCATTCTCCGTTGAAAAGTCACTGCAAGTCATTTGTTGTGTGAATGAGGCTTGAGAAGCATTATAAGAGGGGGGCAAGATTGGGAAAGTTCCAAAGCTGAGATTCTGACCTGTCATCATAGTGTTGATGTTGTGGGATTTTTCTTTTGTTTCCCGATGGACCTGTATGGAAATAATCACTCTTTTCCTGAGGAGGAACTTTGAGAAAGAAGAATTCTGAAAGTGCCTTAACACCTTTAATCTCAAGAAACACTTGCCATTTGAAGTTAGTAACATCAGATGGGCCTTTAACACACTTCCAGCTACTGCCTTTCGTCATTTGTGTTCGTTTCAATCAGGAGCCTGGCTGCAAGGTAGTGATGAAAAGGACGAAACGGTGCTGACGTGAGGGGAAGGCGATCGTTGCATCACATTCCCATCTTCACTGTAAGTGGTTGAGTTGAAAGAGATGTGGTCTGGACTGCTGTATGATCCATCATGCTGTCTGAAGCTCCAGTAGATCTGTGCATCATTAACATTCCTCCACTATCAGATCGCACTCTCACATCTCAGATCCGTGGAAGTCAGATTGTGACGTTTAAACTCTCTTCGCCCCTTCTCCAGATGCAGAGTACTCCTTCCCCCTTCCTGACCTCAGCAGTACCAGAGAAGAAACCCTCTCGAAGTGGAAGCGTGTGTGACTGGCCGTCTGTCTCTCTGATTAAAGAGCCACTCCCAGATATTCTGTCGGATTGTTCTGTGTTCTCTGTTGCATTCCTGTGACCTCCAGGAAGAGGAACTGCTTCTTGTCAAAAGCACTGCTTGCACATCAAAGATCACCTGCTCAGCACACACTCCTTCTTCTTCACCTTTCCCTCTCTCTTTCACTGCCTCTTTTCCACTCTCTCTCTCTGTCTGACAAATGATGAGCATCAGGATGAGCAGTGTAATAGCAGATGAAAAGCATTATGTGAAAAGGTTGTGCACTTCCTGGAGCTCTATATGCACTATATGGGTTCGTAGGGGCTTCTATTTCTAGTAGTGTTACCTTAGCACATGCAGAGCTATGTTCTAACAACTATAAAAAATGTATTCATAGATGGTATTTGATGGTAATCTGATAAGAGGGTAGGTGAACATGCCTGTACACTCCCACTTTGATGCTGCATGCATACCCTCTGTATGTACTGTTTTGGAACATCTATTTCCACACATTCGAGACATTCAACTTGTCATTAAAAATCAAAAGTCGACTCCCAAAAGACATACTCTGCAATTATACACTATACTGTCATCCAAAGGCAAAGCACAGTAAATACACATTTGGACAAATTGAGTGAAGCTACACAAACCTCAGTCATTGTCACAGAATGTTTATCTTGATCCCATTAGGTCTGAATTATTTGATTTTAAATGCACTGTAGCTTGTCAGTGTACTATGACTCTGTGTTGTAAACCCAGCTCTACCTGAAAGCACTTGCTAGAGATTTACTTGAACTGGCTTAACTGACAAAATGGCATGAAAATGGCCTTTGATTAATCACATTTCAAAAGGTACATATTTGTACCTAAAGAGTGCTTAGTGGTACCTCAGTGGTATATATCAATAACCAAATGTACCTTTGAGGTACCAATATGGACTCTTTGAAAAGGTACTGCCCCAGCCTCAAAGCAAGAAGGTCACTGGTTCGAGCCTCGGCTGAGTCAGTTGGCATTTCTGTGTGGAGTTTGCATGTACTCCCTGCCTTCGTGAGGGTTTCCTCCGAGTGCTCCGGTTTACCCCACAAATCCAAAAACATGCGGTATAGGTGAAATGGGTAAGCTACATTGTCCGTAGTGTATGAGTGTGAATGAGAGTGTATGAGTGTATGGATGCCTGGAAGGGCATGCGCTGCGTAAAACACATGATGGATAAGTTGGTGGTTCATTTCGCTGTGGCGCCCCCAGATTAATAAAGGGACTAAGCCGAAAAGAAAATGAATGAATTTGGACAGTAAGGTTTGACTTTGCTTAAACAAAAGTCTTGTCACTTAATAGAAATAATGTACAGTATAGAATAGAAAGTCATGGTGCAGTGGAAAAAAAATCTATATTGTGTATGACTCCCATGAGCTTGGAGGACTACATCTATAAATCTCTGCAATGACTCAAAAAACTTAATAAAGTCATCTGGAATGACTCCCAGAGTTCATCAAGATTCTTTGGATTCATCTTCAATGACTCCTCCTTCGTCTTACCCCAGACATGTTTAATAATGTTCATGTCTGGAGGCTGGACTGGCCAATCCTGGAGCACCTTGACCTTGTTTGCTTTCAGGAACTTTGATGTGTAGGCTGAAGTATGAGAAGGAAGCGCTATCCTATTGAATAATTTGCCCTTTGTAATGTAATGGGCAGCACAAATGTCTTGATACATCAGGCTGTTGATGTTTTCATCCACTCTGTAGATCTGTTGAGTGCCCCATACTAAATGAAACCCCAAACCATGATTTATCCTTCTCTAAACTTGACTGATTTCCTTGAGAATCTTGGTCCATGCAAGTTCCAATAGCAGTATAGCAGTAGTTCTGCAGTATTTGAGATAATTGGGATGCAGTTCAGCAGATGATTCATCAGAAAAATCTACCTTCTGTCAATTTCCAAATGATGAGAAGTCAAGTTATTATTTGTTGCTTTTACAACTAGGAACAACAACAAGACTTTTGTCAGGCAGTGTATATATACAGTAGTCATTTGAAGTGGATCAAAAAAGATTTAAAAAATTGTTCTCTGACAATGGGCTTTGTTTAATAACTTTAGGACAACTTTGATAAAAGGTTTTAAACACTACCATATTATACCACACCATAAAAATGACAAACATCATAACAATTGTGAAGGAACTGACTTAGCAACCCTTTTTTTTTTTGGTAGCAAATGTTTGGAACCTTCTAGCAAACGACCATAAAACCTGCTTAACAGCATTTGAGCACAGCACTCAGAATACCATTGCATCTAAGTGGCTGGATTTACTCTACACTACAAGCTCCGTTCACATTCATTACAGAAGGTGAGGTTTAGATGTCAGAAACTTGTATATATTTTCCTTTGTATAAGTAAGCAGAGCAACTAACTTAAAAGTGGTGTACCGTTGTAATTGTTTAGACAGAGGAACTCTGGTATGAGAATTCTTCATTCATTTGGATTCTGATATCTTTCCCACTGACAGAAATGGATATTTTTCAGCTCCTTAAGGCCCGTTCAGATGATGAATTCAGCGGCAGCAGAACTTTGCCTGTTCGCCTGTTGTCAGGGCGGGATGAAACCAGCCCTCTTTCAGGATTGCAGAACTAGCTGAGTTTGAAGTTTCGTGGTTTGAAGCTGAATAGATTGCACTTGGCACTGCTGACAAAGAATTGTGCTGGCTATCACTTATTTTGCACAGGAGAATTGAAGATATTGCACTGTTTAGTTTCATTGAAAAATACTTGGCCGAAACTGCAAAGGATTGTAGAGACAGATGAAGCACATCCACTCTGTCTTACTCACTGAATGAGTCTCGGTGCCTTCTGCTCAATGGCCAAACAGAGGCAGGTGTTTCCTGTTTCTGGAAGTCTCTCTCTCTCTTTCTCTCCCTCTCTCTGTTCCCTCCTACTCTCGTCTGTCCTATTGATTTCACAGCACAGCAAAAGCACATGTCATTTTTATAGCTTGATATCTCTTAAGCATTGAAATTAAGATACTTAATTGGTTAGGATTAAAACTGCTCACTTTCCTGTCATAAATATGCACTTCTGAACATTTTTTTTTCTTTTTCCTGTGTCAATTACGTGATAAATCAAAATGTGCCAAGAGAAAAAGCAGTAATTGAAATCTGTATTGTCACCCTCAGGTTGTGAAGGCGGTGATGCTCTTCCCCACAATTGAGCGCATGGCCTGCAGTCCTCAAGGAAAAGTCATGACCCCTGTGCTCTGCCGCCTGCGATATGCCTTCTATTTGCCCATCTTCCTGCTCTCTCTCCTTCCAGAGAGGCTGAAAGTCGGCATAGTGCGTCTGGCCTTGAGGAATTTATATGCACTGGACAACTCCATCATCCCAGCCACCGTCAGCCTGATCAATGTAGACTGTGCTGGTGAGTGAACTTTGCACTATTATTTAGATAGAACAAGCTATAAAAAGTAACTTTAACATGTCTTGGTGTATTTTTATCCGCTTGTTAAGTGTGACATCATGCAGATTCCAGATCCAAGCGCTATACCAAACTGTATAGGCAGGCTCAACAAATAGTAATAACAAACGTTTACAAAGCGATGTAATACTTCAGAAAATCACGGCCGCAATATATATCCATGCATTTCTAATACATAAATTGTAAACATATTGGTGTCAGTGATGCAGCAAGTCCAAATACTGTTGTGTACACCATGATTTTATATAAAATTCACTTTAATGTGTGATATGATGAAAAAATGGACGTAAATTTATATTTTCCCAATTTATTTGAGTAGCGACTTGGACTTGGAAACAGTATTCCATACATTACGACTTAACAAGCGCATAGAGAATATGACATCACAAATCAAGGTGTTGTTGGTCTGCAGGGCATGCAGTTACAATAGAGACTGTATAGAAGATGTGTCGTCAATTTCTTGTTGAACGCACAAAAAGGCAAAAGTGGATGGATAGCCTATAAATGGCTAGTAATAACTTATATTAAATATAAAGATGAATTATACAGCTCCATATGATTGTTATATATTATGGATACATTTATTTGCACTGAATTGCAAGGGGTTTCTTTATAGAACAATACATCTGAAAATGAAATTTGGGAAGTATTATGTAAATATTTTCAAAAATTTCTAAATTATCTCTTGAACGTATCCACTGAATGAATGTTTAATTCAGTGGAATTTATTATTTTCTGTAGTATTAGTAATTTAGTGTAGTCTTTAAACTATATTAAAAATAACTGTCACTTTACACAAAACTTTGCACTTTACTTCGAATCATACATATACAGAAGTAAATATATATATATATATATATATATATATATATATATATATATATATATATATATATATATATATATATATATATATATATATATAGAGAGAGAGAGAGAGAGAGAGAGAGAGAGAGAGAGAGAGAGAGAGAGAGAGAGACTTTATCTAAAAAGAAAAAAATATTATCAAACATACTGTGAAAATGTTCTTGCTCTGTTAAACATTGTTTGAGAAATATTTAAAAAATAGAAAAAAAATTCAAAGGGGATCTAATAATTCTGAATTCAACTGCATATATGTGTGTCTCTTTATTTAACCATATAAAAAACAAAAACATTGAGATAAAGATATCATTTACAAGGGTGACCTTCCACAGCACACGACTTATAAAATTGATAATAATAAGGAAAAAGTTATAATAATACATATAATAATAAATGTTAAAAATACATGCATTGACAAATGGACTGTTGTTGTTTATTATAAAGGAAGGAGCGAAATTATTTAATTGGTATGAGCTCAGACATTTTTAGTTCATGACTAAAGTATCGCTTCCCTATTTCATTTTAAAGCCAGGGAACAGGCAAATGATAAGATTCACTTGAATGTAGGGCATACTGGCTTTTTGACCTATGAAGAAGGGAACATAGGTATAAAGGCACCAGACCCAGAAGAGCCTTGTAGACCAGAGTCATCCAATGGGTGTACCTTCTTACATTCAGAGAAGGCCACTCAGCTTTGGCATACAGTTCACAATGATGAGTTAGTCTACGACAGCCTGCAACAAGCGCTATGATAAACAAAGTATAAAAGCTGAAGACATTTGGTTGAAGCATTCAAATATAGAACATCACCATAGTTAAGCAATGGTTAACATTTTGCAGACACCAAAATGTTTACGAGCTTTAAGAGAAAAGCGGGATTCATTTCAATGGTGAAACTCAAGCTTAACTCTTAGTTTGCAAATCAAATTTGCTACATGTGCTTTGAAGGAAAGCTCCTAATCAAGTAAAAAGCCGAAATACTTATAGCTGGAGACTAAATTTATTTGTTCAGAATGAGAAAATATCAAGACAAATGTCTGTTGGATTGTGTAAATGTACAGATAGTGATTTTAATTTTAATCTAGGACCTTATTTGAAGCTTATTTATCACCTGCCTTCCACAAAATGTTATATCTCAAGTTCCTTCTGGATTACTCTTCCTATAATAAGTGTATTGCCTCTTGTGCTGTAAGTGTCAGACTTATTAATAATATGTTTTTAGCAGTGACCATATTTTCATTTTGTTATGATTTATCTAAAATAGTTCAGTCTTCAATACTCTAAGCACTAATAAACACAGCTAAAGCATAACTCTCACGCAACTTTTAAGTTTTCCCATCAGCGATGTCCCCTCGTGTCTCCATTTCCATCTCTCAGTTTTGGACTCCAGAGATCTAATCCTCACTTCAATGAGGTGCTGAAACCTTTCAAAAGTTCACATGCTGGCATCCCTCCAATCCTCCACTGTACAGATGCATAGCTATCTCTTTTTTATCAGATGAGAAGAAGTATATCACCACTTCAAAGATGATTCAGCTGAATATAAAAAATCAAGACCAAAAGAGAGAAGGGGGGGTAAATGCAAATAATGTTTGAGTGGCAGCCAAGAGTGTGGTGCCTCACAATGTTTTGAATTAAGATTTTATTTATCATAACTCATATACATAATCTCCTGGGCGTTCGGTACATGAACTAATGGTGCAGATGAAGTGTTGTGAGTAGGAGTAATTAAGAGGCCTCTCCAGCGAAGGGACCGCTAGCTTAGACTCTCTCTCTCTAGGTGAAAGGCTGAGTGTTTCCCCTGTCTGTCCTGGAGGGAGAGTGATGGATGTTGTGATGGCCGGAGAGTCTCTGCCAAAGAGGCCTCAGTAGAGCCCAGAGGCATTAGTGTGAGCTCCACTCTCTAGTCGCTCCGAAGAACCAGTTTTCTCACTCGCTCGCTCTTCTTTTCTCCTCTCTGTCTGTTTTGTCAGTTTTACCTTTAGTTTTCTTCTCCCCCTGTTGCGCAGGGAATTGGAGTTTCGCTCCTGACAAGGCTTGTAAGCATGCTTTTAATCATTAGCACATCTCACGGAGTGTCAATTGGAATGGATTTAGTTTCTTCTTTCTTCTGAACAAAATGTTCAATTGTAGCTCTCTTTCCCGTTCCTTATTAAATAGCATCAAATGTTGGAATACGTTTCCGCGAGGGAGTTTAATCCGTTGTTATTCATCGAAAAGGCCAGGTGGTCTTGTATGTACACATGTGCATGCGTGCGTTTTGTACCATTGAGTGCTGGCCCGTGACCGCATACGAAAAGCAGCTCTGTCTTTTATTACGTCCGTAATTAATGGTGAGTTGACAGACTTAATTAAGAAAGCATGTTGCTATTAGCTGGAACTTCCTGGGCACATTTAAGGATTTATTTGCTCAGAAATCCCTTTCCTTGAAACTGAGAATGTTGATATTTTGATGTTAACTGCATGTGGAGCATGCACACAATGTCTGTCATGCAGACATCAAGGTTCTGCATCTAGGAGCGTAAACGTCAATGAGGCGTGCCTGCTCGAGGTCCGCTGGGATCATGCCGCTGTAACGCTCTCTAATATGCTTTATCCTTTCAGTAGGCTGCAACACTCCACTTCACACAGCTTCTGTTTTCACTCACCTAACCTCTTATGCCATGTTTTTTATGATTGAACACTTTTGCGTTTTTCTATCCAGGCTTCTGTTGGCCTAATTTACGAGAACCGGAAGATTCGTCCCTGCATCAGTTCCTTTAGTGCCTTTTGCTGTTCATCATTTGTCTCACAGGGGAAAGGTGGGAAACCAGAGCATAGCGGCAAATGGCTCCCTTTCCTGTTATCATGGAACTAAGTTAACTTCGACCTGATTTTGGAACCTAGAGGCTAAACTCATGAACTTTTTATCTTCCACCTTACGTTTGAGTCACATTCACTTCCTCCTCCGGCCACCTGTTTCTGCTTGGAAAGTCGGCCAATATGTGGAACACCTTTACACTGGTAGACTTGCAATTTGAACAAAATACAAAGTATTTGGCCATTGATCAAATTGTGTCTTTGGACCTGTTTCCACTTGGTATTAGCATGTGTTTTTGGTAATCCAATCACAAGTGGTCAGGCATGATGCAGTACTATATCCACCTGGTATTAACTTGGGTTCAAGTGCATCTCTTGGGAAGACTTGTGTTCAGATTTTGTTGAGACCCTTTGCTCTTATTTCGTTATGCTCTACATCAATTGCAATTGCAAATGCTTTTAAATGAACCCACCTAAAGTGGCTCATGAACGAGCTGGAAAGCATGGAAAGGAAATGGTTGTGAATGGCAACTGCATTTTTGATGGTAATCTATGGCTGTGTCCGGAAGCTTGGGCAGTTCTTGCTGGAAATGCCATCAAGAGTGAAAAGCGTTGGTCAAAAGCGTGTATTTAGACACAAAATGACACCAAAACATATAGATGCCAGTCCAGCAGGTGGCGATGTCTGTTGTGTAAATGTAACATGAACAGGCCTGTAGACAGCCATTGTTATTTTTTCTTTTCAAGTGCTCACACACAGTATATATATTGAATGTGTAAAATGCATGTGCTTGAATCATTATTTTCTTAAAATTTAGTTTAAGGGGACTATAACATCCATTTATAACATACATTTTTAAAACACATTTTCAAGATTTTGTATTTTCAGATTGAAAAAAGAAACGTGCAAATGTGTGTGTGTCATGTAAAGAAATGTGCAAAACATTACAAAAGTGTACTTCTATTAGGTTTTTTTGTGCATGTGTAAATGTAAAAAATATTAGTTATGTTCTATCCAAACAATAATTAATTATTTTTATTAATCTCCTTAATTCTGTCATCATATACTCATGTTACTTAAGAACACATTACATATAGTTGAAGTCAGAATTATTAGCCCCCCTGTTTATTTTTTCCCCCAATTTCTGTTTAACAGAGTTCTTTTAACACATTTCTAAACATAATAGTTGTAATAACTCATCTCTCATAACTGATTTGTTTTATCTTTGCCATGATGACAGTACATAGTATTTGACTATATATTTTTCACTTCAATACAG